ATAGAATAGACACGTGGCTTTTTCCCGTAAAAAAATTTGACAATAGGACTTCATCGCCCGAAAGTTTTACTGACTTATTGGAACAATATAAAATGTTAAAACTTGATCAATCAATGGACAAAATGTTAAGTATGTGTTACTACACCTATCCCTTTTCTTTGGAAGGAAAGAGAAAGTTCGCCAACACTTGATACAGGATAATTAGTGTGCACAGGCCATGTAAGGCAATGGCATCGTGCTTCGGCGTATTTTGATAGTTTTCAAATCAAAATCTCAACCATCGTTCAAAGTCCTGAATAACTTTTTTTGATTAAGCGTATAAATAAATTACATATTACAGTTCAACAAAAAAAATAACTAAATCGTCATGTATAAATCAAAAGAACATGAATCACTTGGATGACTAAAAGTTGAACCCTGAACTTGTTTCGATTGTTGTGGAGCTCTTTTGAGTTCTAATTCGACTTGGTAGGAATACATTTTGTTTTGGTTGTGGTTATGTAAAAATGCGATGCACTGCTTTTGTCATCGTTGGCTAGTAATTGCTTGTTATTTGCTTATTCAAATTGCTAAAACGATGCCACAACTTCTATTTTTTTTTTCAGAGATGAGTCAGAGCTTATACAAAGAATTGTGATGGAAATCTCCACTCACCTAGACCGAACACTTTTGCATGTTGCTACACATCCGGTTGGGATAGATTCCCGAGTGGTTAAGTTAAAATCGATGTTAAACCTTGAGTCTGATGATGATGTTCTCATGGTGAGATTGTGGGGACAAGGAGGCATTGTCACGCCCCGAGCCCCATCGAGCTCGCGACATCCCCTGCTCCGGTCAAAATGATGCGACGTCCCAGGAACGTCGCCGACCCAACCCAAACATCAGAGCCACATGCGGAAGCGAATAATAAAACCCCGGACAAATAATGACGATAACGGGGTAGAACAACAGAACAATCCAGCAACCACATATTCATACAACACCAATTATACATACATCATATTACAGGCATAATTAACAAACTAGCATCCGAAATCACCGTCAACAAAATATCAGGGTCTGGTTAACTTAACTTCCCTATGGGTCAACCCGATTTACACAACCCCCAAAAATCTTAAGGAAAAACCTAAGGATCGCCCTCCTCCAGTCTGCTTCTGAATCTCTGGCTTGAATTTCTGGAACTCACCTGCAGCTCCACTGGCACCAACAGTAGCTCCCCGGACTTCCGAAAAGAAAAGCCGCACTTCCCGGGTTTAGGGCCGGGGATCTGAAAGTGGCGGTTATACAACCGTGAGACGAATCTCAATAAGTGTACAACCCCAAACCCCACGTAGGCACTCACGTACCGCCAGACGAAAACACCCATAACACACAACGATCGGCCAAACTAACAATCACATGCGACCCTACTTGGAATCCATCACGCACGTTCCTGCACGTTAGACAATAACACAGCCAACACATCACAGCAAGGACTCACAGACGTGCGCGTGCCTCAATTATAAGACAGAAACCACTTGGGCACGTCCCATACCGTGCCTAGCAGTTTCTATCCCATAATTAAGCATCACATCGCGCGATACAAACACACTCGCACGCTACTCACACCATGCGTCACTTTCCACAATCCACTCGCTTGTCTTGCCAAATCCCACTCATTTTCAACCTTTCCACCACTACCGCGCCCGCGTAAAACGCATCAGGCCAACGGTCTTCTGACCTCGTCAGGCATCGTCACCCCATCGGGCCGGACATCGTCACCTCGTCAGGGACGGCATCGTCCCGCGTAAACGTACACGCCTCAGGACGGAATCCTACACACACTTTCCTTCTACCGCGCCCGCGTAAAACGCATCAGGCCAACGGTCTTCTGACCACGTCAGGCATCGACACCTCGTCAGGCCGGGCATCGTCACCTCGTCAGGGACGGCATCGTCCCGCGTAAACGTACACGCCTCAGGACGGACCTTTCCAACCAATCCTACATTTCCATATCCTCGTTCCACTCAAACCACACTTACACACAACCAGCACACGCACGGCCAAACATACACGCCTCACACATACATAGCCACGCACCAAATTCACATCTCACGTACACTTCACAAACACGCATTCTCATCACACGAACACCACATGATCACCCACACTCGGCACACGAACTCAATGCACATTCTAATGTCCACGCCACCACACCTCACAGCCACACACACGGCATAGCACCACATCACATTCGGCCCAAGCACAAACTAGAACAAGCCAATGACAGCAAACTACACAATTAATCCGATAAACCCAATCAAGCCAATACATTTCCAATTAATCACCCATTTAATTCCCGATCGATCCTCGACATCACAGCCCTAACTCAGCATTCCTAAACCTCGAATTTCGTCGCCCAATCAGCCCACAACCTCCAAACATTCAACCCCTAACTTAGTCCCGAAGACAGCCATGAAACAGCCACAAACAGTCCCTAAAATCACTTAAACCGAACTTCAAACGAGTCTAGAAATACCCGAGGTCCTAAATGACATTTGGGGAAAACACTTACCCAAAAAGGCGAGACAGAACGGGCCGGAACGGCCGGACAGCGGCAAAAGCTGCGCCGGCGATGTACGGACGGCGGAATGCTGTACCCGCACGGACGCGGTGAATAGCATCACTCGCACGGACACCGTACGGACAGGCTAGGACGGTGGCCGGCGAGGTGCCCGCGATAGCCGCGGGCGTCCGTACGGTCCGGCGCGAATAATGCCGATCCGTACGGACGGTGGAATGCACTGCACGAACACTGTACGGATCTGTGGCCGGACGGCGACGCACGGCGAGGCCGGGACGGTGACGTACGGCGAGGCCGGACGGCCGGGTGTCGACGGAACAGCGATCGGAGCTCGGGCGAAGCTCCGGCTGCATGTTTGCGCACCTGAAAGAGAAAAAGAGAAAACAAGGCTGTTTTGGACAAAAACCGGGCTGTGATGGCTGCACGTGAGGTGGAAATGGTTGATGGTGTTGCTGGCTTGGTGGGGACAGCTCGCTAGTATCTGTTCCGGCGTGAACGATCCGAAAATGGCGAAACGGGATCTGAGAACCGTAAACGTGAAGAAGAAGAGGAAAATTCTGGGGAAAAAATGGCTGAATGCTTCTGTACGTGAGAGAGAGAGAGAGAGAGAGAGAGAGAGAGAGAGAGAGATATCTGGTCAAACATTATAGATTAGGGTGCCAAGTGTCAAAAATCCAAAGCCTTGGACACTTTTGCCCCTAATCCAAAGGCCCATATTTGTTCTAATCCATAAAAGCAAGGGTAGAATGGTCATTTGCTCTTAACCATGGTTGACCAGACCTGAGCTAAGCCTAACTCACCTTGGTTATTCCCAAAATTAAATCCAAATTTCGGAATTAATTAAAAATGGCCTAGGGGTATTTTCGTAATTTTCCGATCCCGAACCGAAATTCCAATTTTCGCACATACGTGTTCCATATGTGCGTGGCCAACATAATATGGCGTCGGAATCGCGAAATTCATCGCGCAAGCCCTCGAAAATCCACGTCAAAGTTTCGGGAATAAAATAATATTATTTTCCCAATTTTTGTCGAAATTCCAATTTTTGGCCAAAACCACTCTGAATGTGCGTGGCCACCCCAAATTGACCTTGGCCGCGAAAAATAACCTCAAACGGCCTCAAAATCCAACATCGGTGTCCACAGGGGCAAAATCGTAATTTTCCCGGTCCCGAACCGAAATCCATTTTTTTGCAGAAATGGTTGGCCCCAAGGTTGGCCAAGCCAAAAACGTCATCGGCCGTCCAAAATTGTCACTTTCAAAATTCTCGATTCCCGGGCCCGAATTCCAAGAAATGACTAAAATCGAGCAATCGCAACTTTAGCTTATCTTTGGCTAACGGGTGGCTCTCTGGAATTACGCGCTCTCGACCCGTGACCGACACTAAGTCAAATCACGTTTAAGTTTACTCCACCCGGGACGACCTCGGTTGTCATATAATTGCGAGGGTCTGTAGCTAGTTCCCTTCGGACATGATCAATCAAGTAGACCGGTCTCGGTTGGCTCAAAACATTCCCTCGTCAATCCATATGGTCGAAGATCGAATCCAGGTCGAGTTCTTTGGTCGTGCGAACTCAATCCCGTAACAGCCCTACCCCTAAGGTTAGCATCCCGTGAATGCGCATTTCCGGGTGAGACCTCACTATAGTGCATTGGTCAAATTCATTTCTTAAATCTCGGGAAAAGGATCGAAAATTCAAACTGTTACAGGCATAGGAAAGACGACTTTAGCCAAAGCCATTTATAATGATATTTTCAATCAATTTGGGAACTCATGTTTTTTGGCAAATGTTCGAGAAGTTTCAAAAGATTGCAAGGATTTAGTAACTTTGCAAGAAAAATTACTATTTGAGATATTAGCATTGAAAGAAAGATTAGTAGTGTCCAATGTTGACAGAGGTATTAATCTAATACAAGAAAGACTTTGTCACAAAAAAGTTCTCCTTATCCTTGATGATGTGGATGACTTGCGCCAATTACATGCTTTAGTAGGAGAAGGTAAGTGGCTTCATAATGGGAGTAGGATCATTGTTACTACAAGAGATAGCCATTTGTTAACTTATCTCGGGATAGATCAATATTATGTGTACGAAATTAGAGAACTGGATGACAGTGAAGCCCGTGAGCTATTTAGTAAGCATGCTTTTCCGACACACAAAAAATTTAAAATCAGGACAGATCTAATGGATAGTGTTCTAAATCATGCTAAAGGCCTTCCTTTAGCACTTGAGGTGCTAGGTTCCTTCTTACACGGTAGAAGAGAATATGAATGGGAAAGTGCACTCGATGAAATTTCTACGGCTCCTAAAAAAAGCATCAATGATGTGCTCAAAATAAGTTACGGTGGACTAGAGCCAAAAGTGAAAGAGATCTTTCTCCACATTGCTTGCTTCTTTAAGGGTTGAGATAATGAGTATGTAAAGAAAGTTCTCTATAGTTGCGATCTTAAGGCAGTAATAGGATTACAAAATCTCATGGGGAGGTCCTTGATAAGAATTGAGTCCAAGAACATACAAATGCATGACTTGATTCAATTGATGGGCATGGATATTGTGAACCAAGAAAGCGATGATCCCGGGAAACGCAGCAGACTATGGCTGTATGATGACGTTGTCGATGTTCTGTCAAGTGACATGGTGAGACTTGCATATATGATCAAATTCTGCTCCTTATCTATTTTACTCTAATTACTGAACTTGCATAACCCAAATAGTCTTCTTTATACAGGAGGATTGTGTTGTAAAAGCCATAGTAGTGGAGGCACTTGAGCCGACAGAAATATGTATTGGTCCTGATGATTTTACAAAAATGAGAAGGTTGAGATTGCTCATTTTGCGAAATGTGCATAATTCTTTCCAAGGTCCTACATGTCTTCCTAATGAGCTAAGATGGTTTCGATGGGATGGATGTGCTCCTCAGATTCCCAAATTTTCCTCTGGTCAAAAGAAATTAGTGGGACTTGATATGAGCAATTGCAGTATCACAGTAGTGCCAAATCAATTTAAGGTGAGCATTTACCTACATTAGCCCTTTTGAATTTAATATATGAAATTTGTATTTTCTTTCCAATGTTTTTCAAAGTTGGTTTCATTGTCTTTGAGAAACTTAAACAAATTTTAAATTTTATTGATTTTTGGGAAATTCTTTTGTGATAAAACATATATTCTTGACCTTCATCTATTATATATAGTTAGAGCCGGAATCCGACAAAGTGTTCACTCTTGTGCTCACCACATGACACTTCATTTTGCTTCTATGGTTGTCACATGACTTGACACGTTACATCGTTTTGTTACGTGGCCCACGCCCACACTCACCATGTGGCACTTTCCTATGCTTCTATGATTGTCACATGGCATGACATGTGGTATAGTTTTGTCACATGCTGCACATTCGCATATTCACCACGTGACCCTTCACTTAGATTTTGGGATTGCCAATTGCATGATACGCAGCATCATTTTATCCCAAACTAATTTTCATCTACAAATAGAGAGTAGATTTGGGTGAGGAGTACCGGTATGAGATGTTTTATTAAACGAAAATTAGATTTTGATAAATGTGTCATAATCGTACCAGTGTAGGATTTTCGTAAGACGAAAATTAATAAGGGGTAAATCTGCATGTCGATTTGGGATTTTAATGATACTTATTCTAATCTTTTCTAATAATTGTTACCCCAATTTTACTTGTGAACTTTTTTTATATGGTGTGTCTATATATTATTCAATTCTTTCAAATAATATCTAAAATGTCAAATGATAAGGTTAACTCTGAGTTACTAAAATGTACATATATATGTAAGTATGTATGTATAATTACTGGTAAAGTTTCTAAGTGTTTAGTAACTTCTCAATGCGATATTTAATACTCACAAAATCACTTCATAGTAACTTTGAATGAAAAGTTAATTAATAAGTTAAGAAATTCACTCAGAAACCTGAATAGTAGGCTCCGTGTTGTCTGATGTACCGAAGCTCCTTGCTTCCTTCCACACGAAGAGTGTTGTGGCCTAAGGATATGTAATAAGGGCATATTCAGTGTTCACCCGGTCAATATAGATTATATAACAGTTGAGGATACGTAATTGTGACATGTTCTTTCCCCTGATAAACCCAACCTCCCCCATGTGTTGTGGAGGCAATTTTATAACCCTCAATCTAGCTAAGTGTCACGCCCCGCACTCCTCGGCGCGCCACATCCCTCGCAAAGGTCGATTCGTGTGCGACGTCCCAGGACGCGTCGCCGACCCAACACCCAACACAGAGATTTAAAGCACATGCGGAAGTAATTAAAACCACCCGTACATTAAAATACACCTGACCAAGGATAGCCATACAACAACCAGCACGGATAAATATACCCTTGCTTTGACATTGGGAAACATATATAATATTCATATACAGCCCACACTCAAAAGTCAAAAGCGGGTACGTGGCTCGGCGATCAAACACTATATCTAGCCGGGGCTCCTCCCAAAACATTTCAATACGCCTGGCATCCTCAAGGCTGGGGGTCTGAAAAATTGGGTTTCAACAACAGTGAGAATAAATCTCAGCGAGTAATTCCCTAAACCTAAATTAGGCTAAAGTGCACCTCCTGACGAGTACTAAATCAACACACCAAGCAAATAATAATTGACTTAGGCCCTCGGGCCCAAATCCAACACTCACCTTGCCCTGCAGGTTAGGTACTTACAGTTCAAGCATAAAACATAGGACCCAATCGCAGCACACGTACACATCATTTGATCACAACGCATGTCATGCTTATGTTCGTGCTCACACGCGTGCTCACGCCTCATCAATGCATTTTCGCACGCTTGCACTCTAGCATACTTGCCATTTATCAATTTCTCCTCCGACCCGCGTTAAACGCATCAGGTCCGACCCGCGTAAAACGCATCAGGTCTATCACTATCCAACACTTCCTAGCCCGCGTAAACGCATCAGGCCCAGTGTCTCTAGCCCGCGTAAACGCATCAGGCGCAACACCGATCTCCATATACGGACCGAACCCGCGTAAACGCATCAGGTTGGCCGTCTTCCGGCAATCCGGGCATCGTCCCGTGTTAAACGCCTCAGGACGGGTTCACTACCCCGCGTAAAACGCATCAGGGTTTATTGTGATCACACATTCACAAGCACCAATTTTCATCTGAACCCCGCGTTAAACGCATCAGGGCATTTTAGGTGATCACAATGCACATGTCACTCGAGCACACTTGTAAATGCACATGCCGTGCCAATGCTCGTGATGCAAACTCATGGCCATAAACTTCACACTCGGGCATTCACTTGCACCTCACCACTTACTCAAATCACGATGCAATCATGCGCACTTGCACCACGCATATTCAATTTCATAAATCAACATGCCCAATCAGACAATCAATTCAAATCAGCCATGGCATCAACTTGACACACAATCCATGCACAATCCACACAACCGGGATAACAAGAACCCTCGGATTCGAGGCCCGCCAAGCTATTCCATTCTTAGTCCCGCTAAACAAGCAACATGGCATCCTAAAATCAATCTCAACAAGGCTCATTTAGCTAGTCAATTGATCAATGCGATCATTCCCGGTAATTGCACAATTAAACTTCAAATTGATCACGCCTCGCCTAAATCAAATCCTGTCGTGGCCAGCCACTATACCGCAATGTCTGGGCCAATAAATATCTTCAAAATGCCCCATTAAACTCCCCAAACCATCATTCTAATCAGCCACCACAAAGATCAAATGAGGCGCGCACTAAAATCCATATTTAAAGCCCGAACTTACTCCAAACTTGGACCGCTCCGAACCAATCTGTCCAGCCATCTCACGGCACCTCGCGGGTCACTAAATCTCAACTAAATTGTCGCACTAAGTCCGTAAAATAGCCACCAAGACAGCCACCATTCGGTCTCCCAATTTCACCCGCTAAATCCACAATTCCGTCCAAATCACGGCACCTATGCCTCGCCACATCACAGCACACTATAGTCCACTAAACCTCAATTAAATCATCATTCTCGGTCACCAAACGGGCCACAAAATCAGCCCCTAGCGGCCTCCACTCGGTCCTCAATTTGCACCCGCCAAATTCACATTTTCGCCCAAATTAAGGCGCCTATGCCCAGCCACCGCACAGCACTATACGGGCCACCAAACCTCAATTAAATTATCACACTAAGCCCGTAAAATAGCCACAAGATCAGCCACAACACGGGTTATTAATTTCATTTCCCCAAGTCCACCATTTTGTCCAAATCCCGACACCTACGCTTCGCCACATCACAACACTATACCAGTCACTAAACCTCGACCAAATAATCATCCTTGGTCACCAAAAACGCCACAAAATCAGCCCCTAACAGCAGCCACCATTTAGCCCCTAATTACCCTAATTAACCCCTAAAACCCGTCTAGAAATGCAAATTGGCCTAATTAGGGTTTAGGGTCAAACTCACCGGGTGTCCTAAGCTTCAAACCGTGCCGAACACGCGGCAATGGCGGCTGGACAGCGGCGACGCCTCGCTGGAACAGTAACTGCAGCGGCGGTTCCGGCGAACGGCGCGAGTCTAGCGGAGGGGTGGCTGGTCGCGGCGGTCGGGGAGAGAGAGAGGACGGATGGTGAGGCCGGGTGAGGCGTGGGATGGTGGTTCCGGCGACGGCCCGGGGCGGCGGCGGCTCCTCCGGTGAGGTGCTCCCACGGCCAAACAAGAGAAAAGAGGGGGAGTGATGGCTGTGGGTGGAAGGCACGGCCGAGAGAAGGGAACGGCGGCCCACGGTCGGCGCGACGCACGGCCGAGCTGGCCGGCGACGGCGCGCACGCCGGGCCGAGGCGGAGGGCAGCAGCGACGGCTTGCTGTCACGCGCGCGTGAGGGAGAGAAAGGGAACGGTCGGGGCGGCGGCTGGTGGTCAACGCGACGGTGGTCGGGCTTGCTGGCGGCGACGACTGGCGGAGTAGCGTCGGGTGGAGGCGGAGGGCGGCCGAGCGGCGGACGGCGACTGGGCAGAACGGAGTAGAACTAGTCGCGGGCGAAGAAGGAGGAAGAAGAAGAAGAACAGAGGAAGAAAGGAAAAAGAAAGAAAGAAAAGAAAAGAAGAGAGAGAGAGAGAGAGTAGGTGGGGTGGGTGTTGAGGGACGTCCGAGAGAGGGAAACGTGGACGAGGGGGACGGGCGTGGGAGAGAGAGAGAGAGAGAGAGAGGGAGAGAGAGAGAGAAATAAAAGAAATTAAACTTCATTCAAATATTAATCGCGATCCGATGGCCCAAATTAAAAACCGAAAGTGGTCTACCGGTCCAAAATAAGCCTCGCACATAAAAAGGGACAAAGGCCAAATTAATTAGACCAAATCATAACGAGGGAGGTCTACTAGTCCAAATTTGCACCTGATCAAAAACTCCCCTTTTTCCATCATTCCTGACAATCTCAACGTTGGCCCCGACCATATCGACACCGTCCAATTTATTTCGTCCCGACACTCCCGAAAATCGACTGCGAAGTCTGGGGTCTAAATAACGGCCAAATTTGATCGAGTGCGATTCTAGCGAAATCTCTAATTTAAAATGATAACCGGGAGTGATCAGTTCCCGGGCGAGATTTTACTATAAGCACACTGACAAATTACGCGTTTTATAAATCCCAAAAATGGGCCGAAATTCGGGATGTCACAACTCTTCCCCCCTTACAAAAATTTCGTCCTCGAAATTTACAATCCAACCCAGTTATCCAAACAAATGGGGGTACTGGTGTCGCATCAGCTCCTCACTTTCCCACGTCGCACTTTCAATCCCATGGTGATTCCAAATTACCTTGGCTATCGAAATTTCTTGTTTCACAACACTCTCTCTATTCTATCTTTGATCCTATCTGCCTTTTCCACGTACGACACCCTGTCGTCCACGTCCATTACTTCATGATTCAGCTCATGGGTCGGGTCTGGTTCATACTTCCTTAACATCGACACGTGGAAGATGATATGAATTTGTGACAATTTCGATGGTAAGGC